TTGTCCTCCCTGTGTTTTCCATATATTTAGATAATCTTTTCCTGTTTTGCTTTATGCTATAAGAATGTGAAAATTCCCATCCTCATAGAGCCAAGTATGGAGGAGAGAAGGACATGATCACTGAACGTAGATGAGGAAGACACGTGAGCTCTCCTAACCCATGTTAGGCTAAAATGAATCTTTCTTACTTGTGGCTGTTGCCAGGGAAGTTGAACAGAGAATATGGTTAGACCTCCCTTGGGTTCACAAAGCAAAGCCCTTCGCAGGGGAAAGTGGCTCCAGACAGCTTAGGCAAGACCAAAAATGTGCTAAAATGAAGATTAATGGGGGAGGTGGGAAAAGTAGTATTGATACTTAGGCCTGTTGTATAAAGAGGATCAATCAAAGACTGGACATAGGAACTATTCACATTACCCCAGAGCTCTTTGTACACCGACATTAGGCCTGAGACTTCCCTGGTTTGCTGGCAGTGCTGACTTGTTGTAGCAAAGACATCAAAACAGATGAACTAAAAATGAGCTGAGTCTGGAGGAACTTCGAACACAACCAACAGAGGCAGCAAAGCAGCATGTTGGCCAGAGGACTGTTTTCTAAGATATGTGATATCACTAGGATTAATTTTAAAATTTTAAAGAATAATTTATAAATTAAAAAAAAAAAATTCCTTATTCTGTCCCCTCTCTCCATGTAGTATTAGCACAAGATGGGGCGACCGCACTCATGGCAGTGTAAGATTTTTAACACTACAGAAACAATCAAAGAGAAAAGTATCTTGAATATCCTTATGGTCAATGTAGAGCTGATGAGATTTTACATTTTCCTCCCTGAGCAGCAGAGATTTCCTCCCTGACCAGCAGAGATCTGATAGCAGTTTCTGTGCACAGGCAATAAAACAAAGCTGAATAAAATAAACAGGCATATAAAAATAAATAGGCATATAAAAGTAAATTTACAGTCCCTTCCCATCAAATACCAATTTCCAAAAAAGTTAAGAAAAAGCTTATTTATCATTTTTATGCTGTTCCAAAACAGTATTTTCAAACTTTCATTAGCTTGAATTTATTTTTTTTCTATCTTACGAGAGAAGTTTTAGAGGAAATGAATCTTTCGAGTAAGACCTAATAAAGTAGATAAATCATCATAACTGAATGATGTTATACAAAAATATAAGTAAACTTACCAGAAGGTGTTAAGTAGAATGTGGACAGTAAATGCTTCCTCCATTTACATTTCACTTCTGAACTTATGTTATAGACTCACAAGGGGGGGAAAAAAAAAAAAAAAAAAAAAAAAAAAGTGTTTTCCTTATATAATGACCTTTACCCACACGATCACAGGTCAGAGCTAAGTTTATTTTAATTCCCTTGTGCATACCCTCAAGACAACCTTCCTTGCCCATCCTGCAGGGCAGAGCAGTTGTCTCATCTCGAACCTTCACCTCTACTCTTGAATATTTTTGTTGACAATTACCCAGTGTTTGACTTGCACTGCAAGTAGCAAGCAGCTCTGAGCCATTTTCTAACACCATAGAACGCACCCATAGCAGTACACCTAGGAAAAAATCAACAGCTAAATAAAACACAGTGTAAAAAGTAACTTGCCTGTCACTATCAATTATACACAAAGTAAGAGAGCCAGAAAATTCAGTTTTTCTATGTACTAGCTCTTCTATTAAAGATAAGCATTCCCCGAACAGCCCACTTGCAGCAATAACATCAGAGAAAGCTACTTCTGATGGGCTACAAATACTAGAAGAAGAAATTAATGTTTAACAGCAAAGTTTTAATAGCAGTATTTTGAAAAGAAAATATTAAATACTTATTTGTGAATGTTGATGGTCTGTGTGTATTGGCTCCCTCTAGTGTAAAAAATACAAAATCAGAATCAACAAACATTCAAAGAAATCACTGAGTTTGGTAAGAAATTGTTTTTTTAAAAGTAGTAATTCTCTATCCACAATTTTTCCCTAAGTTTTTATAACATAATTTCTTGTATTTTAAAACAAATAAAGACAAATTTTAACTTAGTTTCAGCTTCTGATCCAGGACTCTCACACTTTATTAGCAGATAATGATCAGACCAGAAAGTAGTAGTGAATACGCAAATCTACACTCCGTATTTACTGCTGTAACCTTCCCCAATAAATCAGTAAGATACATTGTGGTGTTCTTTTCCTTTTTTTTTTCCTCCACTGAAATATTGATTTCCAGTCTGTTACAGTTGTTAATGGTGTCACAGAAGAACTTGTTCTAAAATGTGCATTCTGGTATGTACTTATTCATCTGACTACTGTAACTGGTTAGGCACTAGAATTTTGAAATAAAGCTTGGCCTTCCTTTCCTAAAGAGGTATGAAATCCCTTAAAAACACACAAGTCATACTGAGGACAAGTCTGATAAATTATTTTAGACTTTAACCCACTCTGAAGAGCCACTGGATGATACGCAACTTTGGCAAAAAGAGTGCATGGTAACAGCCGTAGCTCCTGCTGCCACCTCCTCTCAGTATCTGGGAGGAATTCCTGGAACAGTTTCCATCACACATATAAAACAAAACCAACATAGCCTTTCACACCAGTTTCACCAAAAGCATATGCAATGTGGTTCGTTAGGATGCTTAACAGGCTGCTTTTAATCAGTGAATTCTTCCAGCTCAGAACTGCACGTGCACACACCTGTAAGATCAAGGCAGCAAATTTACCTTCTCCGAGAACTGATGGAGCCGTCTCTGCAGATGACAGAACATGAAACTTGGAAGTCTGAGTGAAATTCAAACTAAAGCTTTAACTGAAGACATGATTAAACCATTTGTTACAGAGTAATGAAAGTAATGCTCTGCTTCATTTTCAGAAAAGGAGCTCTTTTTACACACCCCCTTCCCCCCCCCCCCCCCATTGCTACCATTAGAAGCAGCTGAGAACTTGAGAAGTCTCCTAATGAATCATTTTGCAACTGTGTGCTTACTTTTTTTTTTTTTTTTTTCCTACTGGGACATCATACTTTAGATACCAGAATTCTGATACTGGGACTTCATACCTTACAGATAATCAAAATTGATATACAAGTATCACACTGTCATCTTCCAACTCCTGTAGCTGCAATTTCAGTTTTCCAAGGTCTGACAGAACAAAAAAAAAAAAATTTGCTTCCAAAATGAGGCTGAATCATCCAGTTTCACACACACCAAATTTGAGTGTATTTGGTAGAACAAGTCTGAAAAACTGATACAGGCAGTTTTATTGAAGACTCCTAATAGGCAGTCCTAACAGATAACAAGTGGTTCTACTGTCTCAATATTGCACAAATTAAGCTCCATTCCCTTCAAAGATGAGCACAGTTACAGCAGCAGGTCCTTGAGGTCATTACACATAATTTCTATTTAAGGAAAAAAAAAAAAAAAAAAAATTTTCTACCTGATATGGCTGTTGTTTCTACCACAGCAGCGCATGTCAACGAAGGTCCTTACAGGGTACCTGCCATTACTATTCCCCCTCAAGCTGTGTTTACTGTCAAGACAGAGACAACTATTTGCTTGCTCATTTGTGAAATTTATCCAACTTGTCTCTGTAATGATTAGAGTCCATTACAGCCAGCTGGTCTCAGCTAGTGTAGCCAGCTAGAATACCTACCGTGCAGAGGGCTCAGTAAAGACGATACGGCATGCCACAGCAAGAAAGCCATCAGGTTCTTGAACTAGCAGTAACAGCTCAGTCATGGAGTATGAAAATGGGCAATACAGCAAAATCTCAGGGGCTAAATTCAGGACAAAATTAACAGTTGAGAAAGAAATTTTATTTCAAGCTTCTAAGGGGGTATTACAAACAATAGAGAATAAAAACATTAAAAACTATTTAAAAAGTAATTGTCCCTTTAAAATAAAGATTCAAGCAGGTTTAACAATGAAGTATGCTATTCAATGAAGTTTTAAAAAAAGATTTAAAAAGTATTGGTTTTGCTGTATTTGCTAATCCTTTATAAAAAAGCTGGGCATAAATACTTCGTGCATTCATATGCATTATTTGGTGTTTCATATTATATAACTTGGTACAGTATTTAAGATATCACTGCAAAAGAGTTCAAACACAGTGCATTTATAAATAATGGAGTCAATATAAATCACATTGCAAACATACCTTGCCATTTTCATTGTTACAAATTCAGTATCTCAGTGAAGGTAGGAATAAAGTAGCTACAACAATCAATATCTTGACTTTATTTTTTTTTCTTTTTAATATAAAAATGCAGTTCTGGAAACCCACCCTCCTTCTTCCCCCTGCCCAAACATAATGCTTTACTTCTTAAAAATAAAAATAAAGTACTAATTCTATATACATCACATGTACCATACAAAAATGTATCCAAAGTTTCTATTGCTACCAAAGTGTTCTAAATTAAAAGTTACATAAATCCCCTCATTGGAAACAAAAGATTACAAGTTACAAAAAAAATCAAATTACACACAAACCATCAAGTTATTTTATACAATTTCCAATACATTTTTCTCCCAAAGCAAGTTGTTTTCTCATGTGCCTGTATAAAAATGCATATCAATATATTTGTCAATTTTATTTTTCATTATAAAGCAAATTAATACATTTTCTACAATAAATAAAACACAGGGAGGCACACACATCAACAAAATTAAATCAATGGGAGATAAATGGGATATGGTTTTGAAAGAAATAATGTGCTTGCAGGCTTTAAGCCAGGTTTGTTCAAAACAAAAACAATCTTAAGTTATTTTGGGCAACAATGGAGTGTTTTTGGTGATTTGCAAGTGATGTACATAGTATATTTTATTTTATTGATGTCTTTCTCACAAAGTACCCTCCAAAATAATGCAACTTCCTTTCTTAAAATACATATTTGTAATTGTAAATTTACATCAATCTTAAATACGTGGTACTTTGTGCAAAGAGCAACGATTTACACGAACATTCAGAAGTCTTTTTCAGAAGCTACAGACCAAAGAAGAAATGATACAAGCAGCACCATATTGTATATGATTTAGGCAAACATATATTTGATGTCATTTTGATATTAGGCTTTAAGATCCACTAAACACCTTAAGCTGGAAGTTGGTGCTTAGGTAACTTAACCTCAGAAAGAAGAAAAAAAGGTGAAAAGCATGGAAACAAAAACCAACTCCCTCCCCAGCAAAATTATAAAAGGAATTAAAGAGCTACTTCTAAAATCAGAATAAGTTAAGTGTTGAATATACATTTATGTACAATTATGAACACTATGAACAAGACATTTTAACAGGTTTAGTGGAAAATCCTCCAAACTACAACACGATAAAATCATTAATCAATATGGCAATGGTGATTTAGAAGAATTGCTCAACTATTTCAAGTTTGCAGAAATCAGCCACTGAATCAACAATTAAGGGGTTGTATCTTCAATACATTCTTTTAGACAAAGAGGTTCATTAGTACAGTTCAAGTCTGTGTGGTATTTTTCATGCCTTGGTAGAATTTCTGTTAGTCAATATCACTGAAGTCACTGACTGGTTCTCCGTGGACCCGACTCAGGTGATTCATAGCACGATCAAAAGCGATTCTTACTGCTTTTCGTATGCTTGAGTTACGTCCTTCCATCATTTTTAACTTGTCTATGGTCTCATCTATCCCAAGGGGAACCATTTTGGATTTAGGAAGCCACTGCCTGTATGAAAGGGTAAAATAAGTATTGTAAATATAGAATAAAATCAATAAGTTTGTCCAGAAATATCAGGGCTGCTATACTGTGTTTCTTATATAGCAGATCAGCTTTACCATCTTAAATAAAGTGATAAAATTCCTTTTAAGATAGTATTTACTTGCCTTAAATGTTCTAAGAACATGAAACATTACAAAAGCCTCTTCCGCAAAGCAAAGAATACACTCTAATTCGTTGTTACTTATTTAATGATTGATATTAAGTATCAACTGAAAAAAAAATTAGTATGAAACTGATGAAGTTCAGTTTAAGAACAGGCAGAAGCAACGAAGAATAAAGGTGGCTCAAGATTCACTTGACACATTGTAATTTCTCTACATTCTTTCATTTCCATTATTACAAGGAATCTGCAGATTTACATTTTTATTTAAGACATCTCAAATTGTTTTCTAGAGGAAAGCTAAACTGTCAAAGAGGTTCTGCTTAGTATCCTTCTACCCTGCAGTATGAAATTCACTAACTCAGTATTCAGAGTACTTTTCCATTTTAGGCCCCATGAATATCATTAACTGCTGGACATAGAGGAATGCTAATGAATAAAGCTCTACACGCCATTCCTCTAAACAAAAAACCATTATAAATATTTAATTGAAAAGTATAAAGTAAATTTATTAATTTTCATAATTGTTTATCTTAGTCCTGTTTTCTTAAATTACAGGTATTAAGGAAAACAAAAATTAGGTAAATTAATGATTATATAATTAAAAGTATGTTACTGTAGTCTGCAATTCCAACCCTGAAAATGGCAGAAGCCATGCTTTTGTTTAAAAACTTCAGTTTGGGAGTCCATTGGGAGCTGAACCAACTGCAAATCAGACAGTAGTCTGATAGAAATAATTTTATTTAAAAGAATTATTTTTTACCTGAATGAAACTGTCTCTTGAAATATTATTTTTTTATTAAAGCATTCTCAACTACAATCCTATTGTACTGAGCATACACACTGAAACAAAAAAAATTTGAAAGAGTCGCTACAAGGATACAGACAGAACAGTAGAGAATAGTAACATCAGCATGATAAGCAGCAGTCTAACCATTATCAGTTTTAATATAAATGAGAGGGAAGTTTTTTTTTAACAGAAAGCTTGCCAAGTCCTCCAGTTGCAAGGTACGAAGGAAAAGAAACAAGTAACACTATTTGAAAAGGTAATCCATAGGTGACAGAAGCTGGTATCACAGAATGAAGATGACATATACCCTACAAGTGAATGAAAATCACAGATATGGGTCCAGAATTAAGAGACAAAAGTGAGTTAGAGCGATGATTGCCAAAATGGCCAAAATAATCAGGATAAAGGAACCATTACCAAAAAAAGTTGTGGGGGGGTAGGAGCGGGGAAGGGGACAGAAGTGGAGGGGAAGAGGAGAGAGGGGCTGGGAAAGTATTTAGCCTTTCCTGTCCATCTATGCAGAGTATCTGTTAGAGACAGCTTTGTGTAGTATTTGCAAGATTTAGGACCACCTGCACATGGTGACAAATCAGAAAGGTTTAAGCTGCAGAGGGACTCCCCAGATAAAGAAGCAATCACAGCAATTATTAAGAAAGTGGCTAGGGAGAGCACGCATTACATTTGTGATACCAGTAAGAAAAGTGAGAAACAGAATACTGTGTGTGTTTAAATACCGATTTTTCTCCGTGAACAAAGGCAGAAGAATGCAGGATCTCATGAAATCCTTCACAAAAGAACAAAGATGATCATGAAGAAGTACCAATTAATTAAGAAAAGAATTAAAGAACAGAGAGTGCAAGTCAAAGAATTGTGATTATGCCAAAGGATCTATGGGGACAGAAAAGCAAACATCAGTTCTAAATTTCATGCAAGAAGTTATTTAGGTGATAGTGTACTGGGACAGAGAGAGAAGGGAGAACAGCACCATTTCTGACATCACATATAATCAGCTAAAGAGGAAAATGATACCTGAAAGTGTAAGCAAATTCAAGAGTAAAATTTTGAGATACAGAAAGATTCAAAGCTAGCTTGGCCTGTGGGGAAACGCAAATTGGAAAGGGATTAAGAAGAACACAAGAAAGAAACATATAATTTAATGAAAGGAAGAAAAAAGTACAGGAAAAACTTCTACATCTGGCAAAAAAACCCCCAACCAAACAAAAATAACACCTACCCCACCCCCCCCCCCCAAAAAAAAACTAATGAAAAACCCCCAAAGCAGTTAGTGAAAGGGGAAGAGAATGTTTTGTTGTGTGAATTATCCCTTCAGGCTCCACATAACACATGGCTGATACTGAAAGAAAAGGAAAAAGGGAAGGTTTCATGAAAAAATTTAGAAAAGGCTAAGAACTTCAAATGAGAGTGTTAATAAAGCATTTAACTAGAGAGGTTAAAAATTTAAAGAAAATGAACTTGAGCAGACTGGGGGAAAAAGAAGTGCTGTCATTAGCAAAACAATGATGAAGGCTGATATGAATAAATACTGAAGACTATTACCTTTTAAAAAATCTGTTTAGCCAAAGAAGCAGTTTTATTGAGTCAATAAATGAAACCAGCTTGTAAATTAAATCAAAAGACTAATGACATATTATTTTCTTCCAAACTGACCATAAAAATGTATCTTTCAGTGATGATATACCTTGGTCCAAGAATAGGCTCAAATATGAAATTTTAACATTACAGTTGATACTTTCAGAGGGAAGACATCCATGGAAAGATAATGTTTCAGTTTTCTTTTAGACTAAAGGTACAGGCTTTTAAAATTTTAAGTCACTGCATCAAACAATACATTTAAATAACATACCAACTTCTTTTATTGTCAAAAAATAGTACTAAGAACAGTTTCTCATCCGATTTGGTCTGCATTTGTTCTCCAATTTTCAGTACATCCAGAGGTGGCACTGGTATAGTAACACCATTGTGATGACCAGCAACACGAGGCATCTTAGGATCAATAATCTAAAAGAGAAGAAAGGACAGTTCCTGATTTTTGAAACTACATAATCTTTTTTAAGGCATCACAAATAAAGTTAATGGAAAAAGAATAATAAACTAAGCAGCCACTGCATGTAAACTGGCTTTGTGTTACACACGTAACTTCTTGACATAAACTGAATAGGCACAGTAAAGGGACAGCAGTAGATTTAACTGACGAAACTATCTCTAAAGAATTTTTCACCCGTATCACTTCTTAAAATCACATCTGAATTTCACTTAGTACAACTCTGCAGACTGACAAGCAGATTTCAGAATGAGAAACTTGAAACAGGACTTCTAAAAGCCGTAACTGGCCTCAAAATTTGGGTTTTGAACTTGATACCTTAAAGAAACAACCTATGTTAAGGTATACATATATATTTCTGCATAATACAAGCCCCACACTCAAAATCCGAAGAAAAAACCCTCTAACCAATCAAAACCACCCAAACAGAAAAGAGTAAATCAGAAGTCACTTTCAAATATCTTGCATATCCAATTTAATGACTCAGTTTTCAGCAAAACATGCAGTTACAGTCACAAATTCTTTCTAAAGAAAGGTTGTGGGAAGGGGGAAAATGCTGTTAACATTGAACTAATCAGGCTGATGGAAAAACTCCTTTGTAGGCAATCACAGCATTATCAAGTGCTCAGCTTCCACCGAAGAGGGGATATATTACTCCAAGCCTGTTTCACCCATCTTCTACCCTACAAATTCCTGTTGTTTTTCTGGCATCCACACTGCCACCAACCGTAACCCACAGTAAACTGATTATGGGAACTAAATCAACAGAAAGCTAACACTGTGGGGAGTTTGCAAAAATCAGTAGAACAACTTTCTGTCTCTTGACTGAGGTTTCATTCCTCAATCAACTCATCACACACTCAGAGAAACACAAGGGCTGACACAGAAGTGAGCAGAAAAGAAGCCCTTTGGTCATAGCTCAACTCTAACACTACAGTGCTAATACCATTCAAGAGACAAACAAATCATCACATTTTCAGCATCTGAACCAAGTCTTCAAGTCACCCGCTGAGGGCACTTAAACTCAAGTGCTCTGAATCTCACGTCCATAGGTTTTAACCTGTCTCTGTACGATTACACTTCCTGATGCCTCCAGCATACATATATGAAAACAGTCATGATTTTCCAGTCTATTATATATATCAAGACATAGTGTATGAACCGTTTCTGTGATGCCAAATGCCTGAAACCAAACACTTTATCAACAACATTTTCTCTGCAAACTTTGATGGAAGTAGAACTGTGTGTATTTTTCCTAAAATAACATGGGCACAACAGCTTTAAGTTTCCAGCACAATCCTTCAATTTATTCTGACTCTACCAAGTTTTTGTTTCTTTACTGAACTGCAGAATCAGAGTATTTTTATACTCATTTTGCAAAAGAAAATATCTTATAGTTCCAACACTAACACAATGTCTGTCAAATGCGTGATCAGTTGATCCTTTACCCAATAATATATATTGCAGAAGCAAAGCCTACTGAGACAGGCGTGCTCATTTTGGTTGGGATAGAGTTAATTTTCTTCACAGCAGCTAGTATGGGGCTATGGTTTGGATTTGTGTTGAAAACAGTGTTGACAACACGGGAATGTTTTTATTACTGCTGAGCAGTGCTTACACAGAGCCAAGGCCTTTTCTGCCCCTCACCCCACCACACCAGAGAGCAGGCTGGGGGTGCCCAAGGAGTTGGGAGGGGACACAGCCAGCACATCTGACCCCAACAGACCAAAGGGATATCTCATAGCAGATGACATCATACTCAGAATATACAGCTGGGGGAAGAAGAAGGAAGGGGGAAGATTTGGAGTGATGGTGTTTGTCTTCTCAAGTCACCATTATGCATGATGGAGCTGGCTCTCCCAGAGATGGCCGAGCACCTGCCTGCCGGTGGGAAGGGGTGAATGAATTCCTTGATCTGCCTTCCTTTCGTATGTGGCTTTTGCTTTACCTATTAAGCAGTCTTTATCTCAACTCACAAGTTTTCTCACTTTCACCCTTCCAGTTCTCTCCTGTATCCCATGACGGGAGAGTGAGTGAGCAGCTGTGTGGGGTTTAGTTGACAGCTGGGGTAAACCATGACAAAATGTATCGTACATCTCAAAAGATGGGTAGGGTAGTAGAGATTAGTGACTTAACAACTGATATTGCAATCATTTTACAAACTGGATGCATGGTAGAGAGGGCAGAATAATCCACCTTTGTTCAACCTGAATGGGAATTTATCAACTACTTTAAGTTCATACACTGCTATTTTCAGGCCAGAAACTGTTCACTAGTGTACTGATGGGAAGCCACATACTTACCAGAGCTGGGTAGGAGGGATATCCACTGCATTTGGCCCATACTACTTTTAGAGGCTCAAGAACAGATGTTGCAGCATCAGTTGAAATCCACATACTGCTATGCCCCACTTCTAAGAACAAATAATAATTAAACACAAAATTAAAATGTTAAAGAATGAAACCTCAGACAAATCTTCTGCAGTTCTTTGTATCCTCATTAATATCTCATGATAATTAGAATCCAAATACCAATACCACCTTTCATGCACATACCAATAAAAAGCAGGTAATGTTTGTAACAGCTCTTTAAATGATACTAGTAATTTAATCCATGTCTACAGATAAAAAACCAAGTTTTTAGACACTTCTAGAAACAGTGTATCTTAAAACACCTTACTTCTCAGAAAGCAAGTGTTTGTCAAATTCTAATAATCCTTTCCCTTTGAAAAAGCTCAAAAGAACGAATAATATTATGGTACTCCAAATAACCAGTTTCTTTTGAAACCAGGATGACAACACTGATGCAAGTTGCACTGTATGTTTACAAAGTTGCATATCCATAGTAGGATTAGCACCTGATAACTTTCAATGCTTGTCTGGTATACCTTTCTATTCTTATGCATAAATTCTGATCTGTGTTTCAATTTCTATTTATTTATTTTTAATCAGCCCTCTTGGTCTCTCTGCCCAGCTTTTTCCTGCAGCAAAGTTTGAAAAGACCAACAAGGTTCAAAGGAAGCAGCTGCAACAGTGTTTTTTTCCTTCTCAGGAGGCAGCATATCAGAAAAGTGGGTTTCTGTTACTGCTCACTTCTATCTGTTTTCTTCTCTGTTGCCCACCACTGGATTGAAGCGTGAAACAGGCTTAAGCTTTTCAGTCAACCAGAACTGCAGCTGGCCCCCTAGACACACAGGGATATGGTCAAGGGACTGGGCAGAAGACAGTGAGTTATCCCCTCTAGATGGAACTGGGGGTGGAAAGACTAGGAAGAAGGTAATTAGAAGTTCAGAAGCTGTAAAGATGAGGCAGCACTTCTTGTGCAGGGAAATGTGGTACCAAAATACAGTTCACACCGCCTTGAAGTGTTTAAATTGGCACGGTAACTTCTTGACCTTGTAAAGGAATCCAAGGCCTACAAACCTCAGCACATGTCTGTATACAGCAGCTATTAATGAACATCACTCACCGCATGTACCTATTACTCTTCCAGTGCTCTTGCACATCAAGGACACCAAGGTATTATATACAGGTAATTCTATTTCAAAACCAAGAAAACCCTGTTGAGCCTACAATCAAATGCCCAAAAGTTAGACAGAATTTTGAGTCACTTTTGAAACTTCATTGTCTGTATTTTTCAATACAGAACATATGTTTTCACAATAGACTTAACTTCTCCAATACAAAGGGTGAACCTGGTTCTAAAGCCTATCTCAGTCTCTCAAGTCAAAAATGCTGAACACGGCAGCAGTAATACAGAAAACAGTATGCCCTAACTTGCATGCTTGTCTTTGTGATTTCAGTAGCATTCTTGTAACATTGCTGCAGTTGAATCAGCACATTTCAGCATACAATGATTACATCCATTATGACGGGATGCAGTTTTGCATTAAGTGCAGTATTACAATATATCACAAATTTTGAGACAGCATCTTGTAAATACAAGCAAGCTATTCCTTGGACCTAAATACAGAGTAACTGTAAGCATTCTGTTTCTAAAACACATGTATGCTGTCAAACAGAATTGTTTAAGACATTCCATCAAGAATGAACAATCCTTTAACTTTCTTTGTAAAATCTGACATTTTACTAATATAAGTAAATCATGGTAAAATTCCAGTTATGCACAGAATCTAAGGAGTTTGCAGTTCACTCCTACTTATTTCCTCTTCTTGATCTGCTGAATTAACAGGGTGCAGAGGCAGCCAAAAGAGCTCAAATTAGACAGATCATATAGCAATATATAAAATAATGCTGTTAAATGTCATTTGCTCCTTTTAGGCACAGCTGTAAAATGTATTTGAGAATAGAGAGAATTAAGAATGATCAAGAAGAGTTCTGAAAAAACAAGTACAGGAATTCTAAGTGGAAAATTAAATATAAGACTACCCAGGAAAAGGTAAGAAAAGCAAATGGAAGAGGTTAAGTCTTGTATGAGAAGTTACCATACAGGTAATAAAGGTACTAAACCTGAAAGTAATGAAGCAGTAGCTGAAAACAGATTAGCTGCAAGAAAGAAAACCAAAACTGAACATATGAGAGAAAAGAACAGACTAAGGCAAACAAAGGGTCAGATGAAAAAAGAGTCCTGGACAAGGAACACCCAGGACAAGGGGAAGAGTTGTAAAGTCAGACGCTAAAGACAGGCTTGCTAGACACTGCAAGACTGATGCCTAACATCAGTGTGGGAGCACTGCATTACACAAGCACAGTTCTACTTACAGAAGAGATGACCTACTTATATCTTGTAATGCAGTTAAAATACTGAAACATGTGGAAAACATATCAACAGAACACGCATTACCCTAAAATTTGGTAACTTACTATCTTTTACATTCATAGAAATTTCCATTTCCTTCCAATTTCAAATTTCTCCTGAATCAAAGCAGACCATGTCTTACCCATCTGTTAATACACTTATGCAGAACAGTACATGAGGAGTAAACCCTAAACCAGTAAGCCCAACAAACAAAAATATGGATAGAACTATAAATAGTACTTCAGGCCAAGTTTTGCTTGTGTTACTAGAGTAGCTTGATCACTTTAAATACCACTCATTACTCAAAACACAAAATCAGGTACTATTCTCTTCAACATCTTTAAAGAGCCAGAAGCAGAAACTAGTTTCTATCAACACTGCTTTCAGAATGCTTAATGTATTTCAGCAGCAAAAATAAGAATGATAGAATCTGTCAAATAAATGAACAAAATTGTAGTTATACAATATTAATAAGAACACAATTATTTATAGTTACCAGCTGCAATTCTTGCTGCTTTGGCATAGTTTCCATTTTCAATGCAAGATATCAATTCACTTCGGTCTTCCAGTGTGTGTCTTCGTATAAGTGCAGGTTTACCTTTACCACACTTCGGCAGATTGAAACTATGAAGTATTAATATTAAAACCATTACTTGGATAATCAACATTGTTCACTGTAAATCAAGACTTTGAAAAAGAATTTAAAATTCATCAGTACACAGTAAAATCAGAGCAGGAAGTTCTAACCAATTTTATGTAACAAATACAAACAATAACAAAAAACTCAAAAACCCGGACTATTTTCATGCACAGAACTGCCTGGTTATCAGCAGAAGACAAACAGTATGCAGCTGCAGCTTGACTGCTGTACAGGTTATACTTGCACAGATGAGAGAAGCTGCTTTGTCTCCAGTGTTACAGTGGACACCGCCCAAATGAAAACATGTTCCTTCTGTTCCAACAGTTCCAATACAGAAGAAACAATTATTTTCTAATTTTTCACTACAAATTCAAGTATTTCAGTTGTGAAATGTCTATACAGAAAAGGGGATTTTTTTTTCTCTGCGTATGTGAGTTTTCTTTAAGAGATCACAGAACCTGAACAGCAATTTTTCTAGATCAAATCCTCAACATTTACAAGAGATGCATTATTAAATCCTCTTTGCTTCTGAAACCTGTCTGACATGAGTGCATTAACACCATTCCCTTAAACAGTTTAATACCTTCCTTTTTTCTCTACCAGATTTACCCTACACTCCTGTATGCCCCATCCTCGTAGCCCACAACTGAAGACAGCTACCTTCTACCTAGAGATTAGTGTGCTTTCGGAAGATGTGCACCACTGGTGATGGAGAAATATTTATCAATGATGGCAGAGGTGACCATTCTGACAGTCCTATCTTTAACACCAGAGTCCACAAAGAGAAGGTCAATAGCTGGTATACAGGTACTGTAATCACTGCAGTAAACTAGCCAGTAATCCAAATCACAGATCGATCATCTGCAGTTCCACAGCTACTTTATTTACCTTCCCTGTGTACAAGACTGTGCTTTGGAAATTGCTTCTCTCCTCCCTTCACCAAAACAAACACATCCATTTTTAGTGTTCAGGATTAGGAAGGTAATTAAAACAAGATTCTATAGACACAAACATGTATCTATCTATATAAAGCAAGAGATGCATAGTCGAGTATAAAGCGTAACTGTCTGGATCTGCAATAACCGGAACTCAACAAAAGAATGCTAACAATCCTGAAAGGTGTCTCAGAATTGACACAGAACTGAGAAAATTGAAATGTACTCTTTTTTCGAAAATTTATGCAATCCTCTGATGTGGGTCACAAGCAGTACAGAAAACAGATATATTCAGTTTCAAATTTGTATTTCAGATTTACAGTTTTACCTGGAGTTACACAAAAGACTGTTACTAGATGAAATACTAGATTCTGATGCACAGCGGCGACGAGGTTCAACTTTTCTTCCCGGAGTATCATCTAATGCTCTCTCATTACTTCCATCTCCAAAACCATTTGACAGACCTACAGCACAACACAAAAATAAACTGCATCAAACTAGAAACCATACCATTTGCATTAACAACTTTTTGTAATCACACATTGTATCATTATTGTTCTGTACTCTGATGTGATGAAAAAGAAAGAACATGACCATTAAAAAGTATTTCATTTCAAAACACAGTATTATAAATAGAAGGTTCCTGTAGTCCAGATTTTAAAGGTAGGATGGATATTTAGGTAACATAAAAAGAAGGGGAAGATTATAATACGGGAAATGTCAAATGGAATACCAAATCAGTCTTTGTATGTAATGTTTTCAACTATTAACAGTCAGGCTGCAGAAGCTGGGTAGAAAAAAAAAAAAAAAAAAAAAAAGTAACATTACAAACCTGGCAGGTTTACCAAGTCAACACAAGACTCATTTGAATACAATGTTACAATCATAACTCAAGAAATACTGAAAATCCTTTTCAAACACTGGAAGAGTGGTAGGGATTCCCTCTTGATGCTATCTAGTTCTTCCTGGAAGTTTTTCCATTTTAGTGAATTCAGACTGACATAATCATGTTTGTTTTCTGTGATCAACAATCAATAATATACACATTACTACTTTTGATTATCCTTCCCCTGGCACAAGTTTATATATGTCCAAGGATACTATATTTTAATTTCATAATTGTAATGAAAACATAGAAAAGGTTTTATATTACAAGCTACTGATTTGATGGCCTGCCACCAATCCTGCTCTGGATTTGGTAATTCACAAACAGTACGGTTCTTATTAAGCCATTTCCATATTTGACTAAAGAGACAAATGAGGAGGTTTAAGATAGTGTTTTGAAGACTTTCCCAAGGGGGGTGTGTGGGTGTGTGTAAATTAGAAGTAAAAAAGAAAGAATCCAATACAGACTCAAGAGTATAAACAGAAATGAACTGGCTAAAGACAACAGCACTAGCCTGCAATCAGCTACTGCAAGCTGTAATCTGCAAAGAGAACAATTTTTAACACAAATTCAATTCTGAACACACTTGTTTTCTTACAATAAGTTAAAATTTTTAACTTAAGGCATATGACCAGCATGCTTCTCATCATGCAAGAGCTACTCATCCCAGCCATCCTATTATCACTCTTAAAGGTCATCATGATCTTTGTCCATTCAGGCATGCTCAAATAAGCTTATGTAACTTCACGTGCCTTCCCACAAAGCATTATACTATAAGCAATTATGGCAGAACTCCATTTATTAAGTTCTAATTTTTCCAGTCTATTTGCTATAAAGACTTCTGCAAATAAGGCTGACAACTAAGGAACCCAAGCTTAGGAAGTTACTTGTATAATCCAGTCACATTTCAATGCATTCCCATACAGTGATTTAAGGGATTTCCCCCTCCACCCTCAGGAGACCTTCCATTTGGATTATCAATACAACTTCAGATTTTTAAGAGAAAAAGGAGATTCTATTTAATGGTCTGAAAGGTTTACAGATAAGCATGCTCTTTCATTGTCATTTAGTCGACACTGTAGAACATTCATTTAAGAGAGTCTGTTTTGTAACTGTTATATTTGCCTTTGATTTCCTATATAAGAAAGAAAAATATAAAGATAGTATTGTCTTGAGTGTTCAGCACCTAAACTACATGCTATGGATTAATCTTGTTCTCATTCTGAGCAAGTCAGTACAACTAGCTGGAGATTAAGGAGTTCAGTCCTAGACTATGTTGAAAGACCTGTCAAAACAGACTATGCTTTCTTTACGAGAGCTTAAATTCCTCTATAAAATCACAGTACACTTCACATAGCATCTGAAAAGCTGAAAAAACATTCTGCAAAAATAAAACCAAGATCTCTTAGGTCTCTGCAAATAACCATTTTTTATTCTTAGATATCCTGTCAGACCTATTTTTCAAGTGAGGTGTAGAAATGGTTTTCTTTTCATCCTGCCACAAGCCAAGAGACACATTACTCAAATTATCATTCAGCAGTCTAGCTAATATAAATCAGCTATCAGCAAAACCAAGTTAGATCACATATTAAATTTCAAATTTAAAGACAGATCAAGTAATTATTGCTACGAGAACCAGAGCACAGTTCAGGTTCCCAATGGACTGAGAAAGTGGAAGGAAGTATCTGTTGATCCTTGTAAGAGTATGAATAAAATGTTTAACCATATGTATGCCAAATATGACTTGGTTACATACATATCTCTACATACACTGTTTCTGTATGTATATGTATATCCACAACAGAAAAAATTAGGGAGTACCATTACATTTTAATTGCTTCAATCAGTTTATGACTGCATCTCTGCTGAAATGGACACTTAGATTCTCTCTCAGTCTCTTGCAAGGGTTTCTCCTTATGGCCACCATGTCAGTACCAAGAAATATGTGGTCATGGTAATGAACTAGTTTTCAGCGATGTACTGGGCAAAGCAACCATGTGATTGCCTGATTGCTGGTGTTGAGAAACAAGGGATGCAACAGAAACGTGCAACTATAGCAACAGAGAGAGCTTTCTGCAGTGGTAGTCCAGTCTTATACTAGTTTAAACATAACCTACATTGCAAGTTTAATGACTCATTTAATTCACTAATGTAGGTTTTTAAGATTACAGTAAGCAAAGTTTTTTCAATCTGTAGAATGGTTACTAAGAGTGGGGAAAAAAAAAAACCAAACAAACAACTTTCTGACAAATAAGGAATATGACAGTGCAAAAGAATTTAGAGCTGCTCAGACACATTTCTCTCTTGCTTGTGGAAGTATGAAAAACAAAGAACATGCAGGCTATCAGCAGGAGTAATCTTCCTGAATATGAGGCCCTGAATGACACAAGCTTATGCAATCCATTAGGCTCAAGTTTATACAGTCTGCTTTTCAGAAATTGTAAGAATAGGCATTATTTTAAGAAAGGAAGACCTCAATGCTTATTTTGAACAAAACACACTCATATCTAGTCACAGATGCATCAGTTCCCAGGTGACCCTTGTAACTTGCCAGAAAAATCCAGGCAATAAAATGCAAGTGCTTTATGGTACCATTGATGCACAAAAAATTAAACAGTTATATTACATTTATATCCTATAACTGGGAATTTGTTTTTTTGGATCATTACAAACTCTTTTCCCCATGAATCAAGAAATACACAATTTCCTATAACTACCAGAATAGGTGAGATTAAAGAAGATCCCCATTTCCTTGAAGGAATTTGCATTTTATTGGCTCAAAGTTATTACTAAGGAGGTCAAATAAAGAAAATCCATGGGAGAACTAACTCATCCTGCTTTTGCGGAGCAGTAGCCTGAGTAAGCCTGCAAACCCCTATGAGCCATTTACATTTCCCAAAAGCTCATGATTTTTTTAGATCAAACGAGCTTTCTCTACAGGTGTGAAGAGAAAGTTTATTAGGTCAGGTACTGAAATTCTTACACATGACCTCTCACCAAGGCCCTTGATTGAGAACAACCCCCCTCAAAAAAAATTCCAAACATCAAACTAAAACCCTTCATTAGTGCATGATTCCTTTTTATTTTCCCCTCTGTTCTTAACTTGCTTCAAAAAAGCAGCCTATTTTCAGAGGCAGAACTCAACATTTTTCATAAAAAAAAAAAAAAAAAAAAAAGGAATTAACGAATAGTAAAGTCAACTATCAATCTTCAATGCAGGGTTACTGCCATTTCTGATCTTCAGCTTTAGACTTCAATTTACATAGAAAGTTTACTACCATATCAAACATTGCATATAACATACATAACCATTTTAAAAATAAATGCTAATAAACAACTAAGAAGGAAAACAAAGGTAAGCCAAGGATGATCAGCCTGATACTTTTTCACACATTTCTCACTGTCCTGAAAACTATTTATGAGGGAAAGCTTCAACTTTTTCCTCACCAGTAGCAGTTTGTTCTGTTGTTCAGTTAAAACTTTCACTGACTACCTACATCAAGAAAGCTAGAATCTTGTTGCCCATATCAAATTAATGAAGCAGGAAAAGTAACTTTTGAAAGACAGCAGAAGTTTGGAAAAAATGAGAGAGAAACAAAACTCATGATAGTTCAAGGAGCAGCACGCTCCATGAATATACAAAATGCTGCCACAGAATACAGAATTGTGCATTTTGGACTGTAAACACACCTTGCAGTTCTGCTGAAATAAAAATAAAGATGCAGAACTTGTATAAAATTATTCTAAAGCAATTAAAACTTTATTAGGCATAGCTTGATGGAAAACCAAGCATATCCAAATGTAAGATGAAGTGTTATATTAAAACCATAGCTGAAGAGCTGAGAAATAATGAAAACTGTTAAATAATTTCAATCACTAAAAAAGTGGGAACATTCAGAAAACAACTGTATACAGTGCACCAGCACTTATATAACACTGTTTTGGTTAATTTTACCAAGCAAGGACTTATCAAGTCCTGACTTGTGCACTTACCCAACACCAGCGATGCTAGTCTTCATTAAAATATATATATATATATTAAAGAAAAAGGTGTATTTTATTAAAACTACTTAAACGCACAAAAATAGGTAAAACATTTTGTTGTACACTTCTCCAAGGAAGATAAGACTGGTTTTTGGGGAAGGGAAGAGGATGGAGATGGAACATTCTTAACTAATCTGCTCTCACAGAGCATGTTCTGAGAGTAAGAACGCTGGGACTGGTAAAAAAGTCTGCGACCAATTTGTGTCACATATACTACAACATGTACAACTTTATAACTTACGGAAATGGGGCAATATATTGAATGAAGAGCATAGTTTCATATATGTCAAAGACTTCCTCCAACAGTGTTCATATTTTTTTTTTGTTTTAAGGATGGCTGGTGTCTCCAACATGATCCAAAATAATTACTTCAAATGTAATTGTCTTTCTGCGTTCCAAAATGATCATTTAATTGAATTCCATTCCATGTTGAGGATAACAGAAAATAATTAGGATCCAAAGAGATAAATACCCAGCATGATATTAGTTAATATGAGAACCTGGAAGACAGTGAAAAAGCCATTAAGTCTCTCT